TACTGATGGCTCAAGACTGTAATTCTAGCTACCCAGGAGGCTGAGATCTGAGAATGGAGGTTCAAAGCCAGCCTAAACACATCTGAGACTCTTATTGTCAATTAACCACCAAAAAGCTGGAAGTGGAGGTGTGGCTCAAGTAGTACAGTAGCAGCTGTGAGGAAAAAAGCTACGTGAGAACATGAGGCCCTGAATTCAAGCCCCAGTAGCAGCACAAATAAACAAACAAAAATTAGTGAACACCTAACTAAGCACCAGACATTGTTTGAGGTGCTTGAAATACAGAAGCAAAAAAAAAAAAAAATAGACAAAAGTACTTGTTTTTATAGCGTTCATTAACTGAGAAAGACAATTAAAAATGCAGAACACATAAGGCAGAAGGCATGGATCAAGTGGCAGAGCATCTGTCTAGCAAATGAGTTCAAATCCCAGTACCAGCAAAAAAAAAAAAAAAAAAATGAAGAACCCACTGAGGGATTAAGAGAGGAAAAAAAAAAAAACCCAACTCGATCCACATTTGAAAAGATTTTGTTCTGACTGCCACATTGAGAACTGTAGGTGAAGATTGAAAAAGACTGTGGAGTTAGGAGCTATCAAAATAATGTCATCTGTTTGAATTCCTTCCTTCCTTCATTCCTTCCTTCCTTCCTTCCCTGAATTCAGGGCAAGTGCTCTACCACTAGGGTCATGTCTAAGCCCATTTTTTATGTTTAGTTATTTTTCAGATAGGTTCTCATGTTTTTGTCTGGGGTGGTCTTTGCTTTCAATCCTTTGGATCTTGACCTCCTGAGCAGCTGGGATTACAGACATTTACCACCACGCCCAGTATTAATTTTCTATATGGTCTAGTTTGTTCATTGATTTGGCTGGATGTTAGTTGGGGCCGTGGGGGGGGGGGGGGAGGGAGAAGCTGAGAAAGTTGAGCGATTTCTTTTTAGTAAGTTTTTTTTATTGTGAAAATACTGTGCAGAGGGGTTCCAGGTCCATGAGCAAGGTCAGTTGAGCTATGTTTAATTAGAGGAAGAACATGGGCACCTCGAGCTGAAAGAAGCTATGGGAAGTCTGACGTAAAGTGGTCAGTCTCCCTCTCCCTTCAGAGTAATTTTCTTAGTAAACAAGTGCAGACTCTTGAGGCCACTGAGAGAATTTGGAGACATTTCCACTACATCCGCACCTTAATCCCAGCCAGCCCGCCACGAGGTTTAAGGAGCTCAGTACTTGGAAAAGGTGTGCCACAGAAGAGAGGGCTAGGGCTTTGTTTTGGTTTTGTGTTTTCTTTCTAGCAACCTAGTACCCGTGCAGGGACACGGGGAGCCCGCAGGCCTGCTGCTGAGATGGAAGTGTGCACCTGTGAAACAGCTGGTTTAGCACAGTAGGGTGGACACACCAAGCCATCCGCACTCGATTGTCAGCAGGAACAGCGTCGCGGGCGCTAGTCCTTTCAGCCCCGGCCCCATCTCAAAAAGCAGCGGCTCCTGGCCGCTCCGGGCCACCGCGCACCACCCCGAGAGCGGCCGTGGCCCGGCCTCTCGGGCGTGGCGCCCGCGGCGGAGCGCGAGCGAAGCAGGGCGGGCGGGCGGGGCGCGGGGCGGGGCGGGGCGGGGCGGGGCGGGGCGAACGGAGGGCGCGAGGGGAGGACGCGCAGACGCGCCGCGGTCCTCGCCCGCCTCCTCCTCCGCCGCCGCCGCCGCCCCCGCCCCGCCAGCCGGGTTCTGTGTCCACTCCGCACACGGAGCAGCTCGGACGGCGGCGACGGTCCCCGCCATGTCTGCAGCCATGAGAGAGAGGTTCGACCGGTTCTTGCACGAGAAGAACTGCATGACTGACCTCCTGGCCAAGCTCGAGGCCAAAACCGGCGTGAACCGAAGCTACATCGCGCTCGGTGGGTGGCCGCGGCCGGCCAAGGGTCGCGGTCCCCGGCTCGGCCCGGGGAAACCGCCGCTGCAGCAGCTGCTGGGGGCGGAGGCGGTGTGGGGTGACCGCGGGGCGAGTAGCATGCCAGGGGCTCCGCGGGCCCCTACCCGGGCCGGGGGGGCAGGAGAGGGGGTCGTATGGCGGGGAGGGCGGCGGCCGCGCCGGGCCGCGTGGTGCGGGCGCTGACGTGTCGGTCCCCGCCCGGCCCGTCTCCCGGGATCGCGCAGGTTTCGCGCGGAGTGGTGGCGGAGGGTCGGGGCCTCTCCGGACCCGGGGAGCTCGCCCTGGAGGGGATCTCTCCCCGGGAGGGCGGGGACCGCAGGCAGGTGCGGGAATCCCGGCCCCTCTAGACTCTCGGCCCGGCGGGGCGCCCGCAGGCGGGAGGAAGGAACGGCGAGAGGGCGGCCGGGTGTCCAGCGAACCCAGGCGGCGCCCCACGGACGGGCGGGCCCGACCTTTGGGTGGTTTGTTTTTCTCCTTTAAAGCGAGTCGGGAGGAAAACGCCCAACCAGGCCCGGCCTCTCCGTGTGGGCGCGGGCAGCCGTGCTCGGGCGTCTCCTAACCACGTCTCTCCTCCTCCCCAGGAGTCATCGGGCTGGTGGCCTTGTACCTGGTGTTCGGTTATGGAGCATCGCTCCTCTGCAACCTGATAGGATTTGGCTACCCAGCCTACGTCTCGTAAGTGGTCACCCTGCAGTCGTCCCGTCCCCTTCGCACCCTTCTCCCCATCCAGGGCTGGACAGCGGACCTGTACTTTCCCCCCAAGAGAAGCAGTAGTCCAGACAGCAGTCCCGATCGCTTCTGGTTACACATTTTGGAGCTTTAACTTGACCTGTTCTGCCGACTAGCCCAAGGAATTTTTCATTACGTTCTCACGGAAGAACAACTAGTGTTAGAGCTCCGTTCTCCTGCCTTTTTAGGTGGGGAGATCGCAACAGGTATCTATACACAGGGAGCTGACCGTGTCTTCCTGGTTATTTTAATGGATATTCCCACATGTGTTTGTGTCCACAGACAATAAATGCCTATACATTAGACCTTCCCTAATCCAAAATGATGTTAATTCAGTCAAAGGAGAAGAATATTGACTTTTTGATTTTTAAGATCATAAGATCTTACAGACTAATTTGAAAAAAATGCTTACTCTTAATAAGCCTTACAAAATGCATCCATAATGTAGCTCCTTGGTCATATAAATGATTCATTTATATAATTAGATTTAAAATGAATTTTATATGATTAGGTTATAGTGAAGTGGTTTTTGTTTTACGATGTGTTTATTTTGTAATACTCTACAATTTCTCACGTCTAATTTGTTCAAATGAAATTATTCTTTTAAACAGCTCAATTTTGTTTTATACTACTTCAGGTTGAAAAGAGCTTTTACCTTCCCCAGCACTACATACTATTGTACCATATGGGTTTTATGTGTATTCTGAGAGTTTCCCAGGGCAGAACAGGAAACTGGTTTGGCTTCCAGATCTGGTAAATGTAAAAGTATCAGTTTTCCATAAAATTTAATCTACTGTTAGATGGTATGTATTTTAGGTATTTTGGTTTTGAACTCAAGAGTCTTGCACTAGCTAATCGATATTCCACACTGAGCCCCTCCAACTTTTTTGCATTTGTTATTTTTGAGATGGAGTCTAGTGTTATGCTTAGGCTACCCTGGACTGATATGTTTCCCTTATCATTGGGGTGATACCATGTATGGCCAATGGTAGAGCTGGGGTCTTGCAAACATTTTTTTTTTCTGGTCCTTGGGCCTGAACTCAAGGCCTGGGCTCTGTCCCTGAGCTGCTCTGTACTCAAGGTTGCACGTTACCATTTGAGCCACAGCGCTGTTTATGTGGTACTGAGGAATCAAACCCAGGGCTTCATGCATTCTAGGCAAGCACTTCACCACTAAGCCACATTCCCAGCCCTTGCCAACATTTTTACCTTTTTCCCACCCAGGCTAGACCAGCTACCCCTTCTCCGCTTCTGGCATTTTGTTCAAAGTAGCTTGTACAGCCCCTTTGTACATTGCCTTTATAACAATACAATTTTTTAAAAACCCTTCAAAATGTAAGGGATGACATCAAGATACATAATGTTCACAAACTGATTTGTTGAATGATACTTCCTTTGAACAACTATTTAAAGATAATAAAAAAGTAAAGATGCAAAAAAAAAAACCCCAACAACCCAGCTTGTTACATTATTGTGTCTGTGCTGACAGACAAAATAACCCAGCAGTACATTCATTAATTTGCCTCTTTTTGTGTATGTACTTAAAGTTCTTTTAGAAAGGCTTTGAAACATTAAAAAAAATTTCTTTAAGTCACAAACACCTTTTAATCTTCACAATGATAGTCATCATGAAACTTTTTTTTTTGCTGGTCCTGGGGCCTGAACTCTGGGCCTGGGTGCTGTCCCTCAGCTCTTCAGCTCAAGGCTAACGCTCTACCACTTGAGCCACAGTGCCACTTCCTGCTTTTTAAACTGCTTATGTGGTGCTGAGGAATCGAACCCAGGGCCTCATGTATTCAAGGCAAGCAATCTACCACTGAGCCACCTTCCCAGCCCCATGAAACTTTTTTTTTGGGGGGCAGTCGTGGGACCTGAACTCTGGCCCTGGGCGCAGTCCCTCAGCTCTTCAGCTCAAGACTAGCGCTCTACCACTTGAGCCACAGCGCCACTTCCGGCTTTTTTCTTTTTGCTTATGTGGTGCTGAGGAATCAAACCCAGAGCCTCAGGCATGCAAGGCAAGCGCTCTACCACTGAGCCACCTTCCCAGCCCCATCCCATGAAACATTTTTAAAGAAGATTTTATTGATAGTCTTTAGAACTGATTAAAAAAAATACAGCTGGGTGCTGATGGCTCACACCTCTAATCCTAGCTACTCACGAGTCTGAGATCTGAGGATCGTGGTTCAAAGCCAGCCCGGGCAAGAAAGTCTGTGAGACTCTTACCTCCAATAAACCACTCAGAAAACCGGAAGTGGCGCTGTGGCTCAAGTGGTAGAGTACTAGCCTTGTGTTGAAGAGCTCAGGGACAGCGCCCACACTTGGAGTTCAAACCTCACAACTGACCAAAAAAAAAAAAAAATACAGAACACTTCATGAATTTGCATGTCATCCTTGCTAAGGGGCCATGCTATTCTTCTCTGTACCATTCCAATTTTTATTATATGTGCTACCAAAGCGAGCAACTAGAACTGAGATTTTGAGTGGTAGTTTGGTAACTGTCTTGCCACTTAATATTAAAGCAGAAAAAAAATAATAAATTAAAAAATATTGATTAACATAATAAAGTTCCTTTTTTATGTATCAGTGCCATTTGATATATAATAAAGTGTAATATAAACTTCTGTGTTAGTGTGATTAGATATCTTTGTAAGCTGCAGCAAGTTAAAAATCTGTTTCTAGGAAGTGGTGCTGTAGCTCAAGTGGTAGAGCACTAGCCTTGTGCAGAAGAGCTGAGGGATAGCGCTCAGGCCCAGAGTTCAAGCCCCATGACCGACAAAAACAAAAAACAAGTCTGTTTCTAGATGGGTCATAAGTGTGCAAATGTGACTGAAATGTGTGCAGAACTCAAGAATGTTTCTCCTTGACCAGAAGTGGATTGATGCTAGTAAGGCCATTTTCAGTCATATTTTAAAGTGTGTTTAAGCCAGCTAACTCAGCTTTGTTATTTGTTTGTGGTCATTCTGCATTCATTTTCTACATAATCAGATGGAAACTATTAGTTCTTTTTACTTACAACACTAAATGTTTCTATCAGTTGCTAGAAATTCTGCTAGAGCAGAGTAGTAGTACAAGGAAGAGGATTTTGCAGATTTAGGGATCATTTTATTTGCCAAGTACATCACTGTTTTCTTTTCAACTTGAATTTTCTAAGACAGAGATGAAGTATATTTTAAAGGATTTGAAAAGGTATTAAGAATAAAGAGGATTTAATTATTTAAGCAAAAATTTAGGAAATTTAATGAATATCTGTAGATTAGTATTTACAGGATGCTTCCTTTTGTAAGTTTTAGCTCTTTTATAAATCAACATAAAGATTATGGGGAATTAAATGGTTTCTGTGTACTTGGACTTATTCCTAAAAGACTGTAGAGGTCATTGCCCATTGGAGTAATTTAAGAAGCTTTAAAAAATATTGATGGGGCTAGGAATGTGGCTTAGTGATAGAGTACTTGCTTAGCATGCATGAAGCCCTGGGTTCAATTCCTCAGTACCACATAAACAGAAAAAGCCAGAAGCAGCCCTGCGGCTCAAGTGGTGGAATGCTAGCCTTAAGCAAAAGAAGCTCAGGGAAAGTGACCAGGCCTTGAGTGTAAAGCCTTGAGGCAAAATCTAATGAATTGATTTTCTATTTTTATTTTTGTTCTGAAGTGAGGAAAGTGGGAGGATTGGCTTTCTAATCTACTGAGCTTTTTGTTTTAAAAATTTTTGTAAAAAAATTTATTATTTTCCGTCTTTTCATGTATTTCTTAGATGTCAGATATATAGCACAGTTCCTCTACTTTTTGCTTGTTTCCTTCAGTACTGAAGACTGAATTCACTTGCTAGACAAGTGCTCCATCACTGAGTTTCACACAGCCCCCTTTAGTTTGAAAAGGGAAAGAAAAAGCCAAAGTGCTTCCCAAGGTCACACAGAGATCAGGCTTGGTTAAAATCCTCAGTTACTACAGAGGAATGTAAAAGCACATGTAGGAATATGTTGGTGCCAACTGGAAATATATTTAGAGTCCAACACTGTGGAATTTATATTTAGTTTAATGTTTGTCAATGTTTTTGAAATCTTATATGCACTCCAGTGATGTGTTAATTTTTGAATGTCCTCTCTAATCCATTTTAAACTTCTGTTACCACTACAAAAATTTTAGTCTCTGCATCATTGCTGGACACATGTGCAACATTTTATTTAATTGAAAAATTATACAGATATATGCATATATATAGTCTTAAGGACTTCACAAATATAGCTCATCTAATGTATCTAATGTTCATAACAACCCTATTATTTAAATGCTATTATTCTTATTTTTACAGATCAGGAAGGAGTAGTTAAGTTAAGTGAGATTGGTATTTGAACCCAAGGACCTTGGCTCCAAAGAGAGAGAGAGAGAGAGAGAGAGAGAGAGAGAGAGAGAGAGAGAGAGAGAGAGAGAGAGAGAGAGAGAGTGTGTGTGTGTGTGTGTGTGTGTGTGTGTGTGTGTGTGTGTGTGTGTGTGTGTGTGTGTGTGTGTGTATGTTAGTTACCGGGGATTAAACCAAGGCTTCACATTTGCTAAGCAAGCACTCTACCACTCGAGCCCCAAAGACTATGTTTTACTTTCTGTGGTATTGTATTTCAAATGTGGCTCTTTGATTGTCCCACATTCTCTACCTTACAAAGAGAAGAAAAATATACTTTTAGTGTTAACTTTTTGTTTTATCAAATTGACCCTGACAACATATTACCTTCTGTTTTTCCTTTCTCAAATAAGGTACTGTCATTCTGAATAATAATCTGCACACAAGGTCATTGCTGTGTATTGTGAATGTTCATTAGATTACTAATAGTTTCTCTGTCTCTTATATGTAGCTTGATTTATGACAGTAACTATAGTATATTAATAGTTATATGTAGAGACTTTCCCTGTTTTAGTAGTGCAGGCCCATATAAAATGAAGATGGCACACTTGAATCGGATTTAGTCGTAAGTCAAGAACTGAGTCTAAGGAGGAAATGTTTGATTAGCTCAGAAAGAGGTTGTGAGTATAATTAAGAAAAAGCTATTGTTAGAATGTCTACATGACTTGTAAACAATTAGCCACAAGTAAAAGCTCCAACAGCATTTTAGCTAATCACTCACAGAAGATAAAATAAGAATGTGTTTTAGGAACATAGATTAAAAAGAATTTCCATTTGTTTAAGGTTTACAGTGACAGACTTCGAAAGGGGTTCATTATCCAGAGACAGGATTATGAAAGTCCCCAAATTGTATCTAACAGTTGTCAACCAAACTCTTCTGTTTTGCAGCAAGTCTTCTAAAGCAGGCGTAAGCTGCATTGTGGTTCTAGTATTTGTAGTTTTCTTCCTCAACTCACTAGTAAGGGGTGTGTTTGTTTTCTTGTGGTTTTCTGAGAACCTATAATTACTATGTTTTCTTTTTTACTCAGGAGAACTTGGGAACAGATAGGTTTTCTACTAAGCTGCTTATTTTCTTTTTACAATAGCTTTTTCTCTCACATTTGCTATCTATTCTTTGTTAAAATGCTTAAGAGTGAAACAGAGCACATCCATAGGCTACTTTCCTGGGTATTATGAAGCACAAAGCAAATGTGGCCTTCTGGCCAACTGTGTACATGGACCAAAAATTTAAATGACATTTCTCAAATTATAACTTAACACTAAAATCTTAAACATTTTACTCTTAACAGGTGTTTTTCCCCCCTCTTGTCTGTTTTCACTTAGTTTTACTACCAGTATTGCTGAGCTGTTTAAGATGAGGGTGTTGTAGAAAAAAGAAATGTAATAAAAATATTATTAGCTGGGAGGGTGGCTCAGTGGTGGAGTGCTTGCTTACCTTGCATGAAATCCTGGGTTCGATTCCTCAGTACCACATACACAGAAAAAGCTGCAAATGGTGCTGTGGCTCAAGTGGTAGAGTGCTACCCTTGAGCAAAAGAAGCCCAGGATCAGTGCCCAGGCCCTGAGTTCAAGCCCCAGGACTGGCAAAAAAAAATATTGTTATAAAAATTTGTGACCATTTTTGTAGCCTAATTAAAGCCATTGATTTGAGATTTTCCCTCCTTGCCTCTTCCATAAAGAAAAAGAAAGTTTTAAGGAACAAATAAAATGATTTAAAATTATTTATTGATGATCAGAGTTTCTGAGCACTGAATTAGTTGTGAAGGGGACCCCATTCCTAACACTGTGTTCTAGAATGTTCCCTATAAACTTCTTTGAATTTTGCCTTGACTTCTTTATGAAGGCCTTGGAGATTTGATCCGTTTGTCCTTTCTGTCAAAGTTGCCCTCTTCTCCTTTTCAGGAGAAGTTCTCTTTTTTAGGATTGATTTTGAGTGAGAATCTAATTTCTTTGTGTAGAATTTAAAGCAAGTGTATATACAATTATAACATCTTAAGTAATTTAGTGACTATTGATAATTAATAACAATTCTGAGGAATAGTTACTCCATCAGAAGTTAAAAATAATCTAATTGCTAATGAAATAGCAAAATATAACTGTGAGGGCTGCAGAACCCATCCTGATTGTAAACTCTGTTACTTGCTCTTTTTTCTGATTCCTGGGCATAAAGCTTCTCATAGCCCCTCTCAGTCATATAGCATACACATAAATATATTCTGGCATTTCTGACAGTTGGGCCAAGTGATCTGGTTAAGGGATCACTTGCATGTCAGAGGTAACTCTAGACTTGCTTTCTACTTCTTGATGTCCTCTTTTATCTAAGAAAGGACACTTTAGGTTATTTCTCATTTAAGTTGTGAGGTTCTTGAGTTTAAACATTTTCTTTGGGGAGGTACTGGACATGGAACCTAGGACCTTGTGCATACTAGGCAGGTGCTCTACCAATGTGCTACATTCCCAGACCTTAGTGAATTTATATCTATACATTGTCATGGGGCTTGAACTGGGTGCTGTCCCTAAGCCTTTTATTCACTCAAAGCTAGCTCTTTACCACTTTGACCCACAGTGCCACTTCCAGTTTTCTGTTGATTAATTACAGATGTGTCTCCCAGACTTTCCTGCTGGAGCTGGCTTTAAACCGCAATGCTTAGATCTCAGCTTCCTGAGCAGCTAGGATTATAGTCATGAGCCACCGGCTCCCGACTCCTTGTTGTTGTTTTGTTTGTTTGACAGGGATTGCTATGTAGCTATGTAGACTGGCCTTCCTCTTGCCTTCTGAGTATGGGATTACAGGTGTGAACTGACATGTCCAATTTAGGTTAAATTTTATGGTACCATACTTGATATATACATTTATAGAACCATCAGTTTTATTGACAAATGGTTGTCCTAATAGTATTTGCCTGTGAATTTAACTTAATGTATGATATAGTATGCATGTCATTAATTGTTCATTTATGTTAGAGTGCCTGCTTAGCAGGTGTGAGGCCAAGTTCAAACCCCAGTGCTACCAACATAAATAATCAGTCATTTGATCTTGTAGGAGATACTATATTACAGTAAAGGAGCA